TTAGTTTGGGAGAATTTAGTTTTTTAAGTTCCCTGTATATTTCTGCGTTATCAAGTCCTTTGTCTGATGTATAATTGGCAAATAATTTTCTCCCACTCTGTGGGTGTTCTCTTCAGTTTAGAGACATTCTTTTGAATGAACAAGAAGCTTTTTTAGTTTATGAGAGCCCATTTATCTATGCTAATCTCTTAGTTGCTGTGCTGCTGGGGTTTCATTGAGAAAGTTCTTACCTATACCTACTAACTCCAGAGTATTTCCTACTCTTCTGTATCAACTTAAGAGTTGGGGTCTGATATTAAGACCTTGATCGCATTTTGAGTTAATCTTGGATTAGGGTGAATAATACAATGGGATCTAGTTTCAGTTTTTTGCAGACTGCTAACCAGTTTTCCCAGCAGTTTTTGTTGAAGAGGCTGCATATTTAACATCTATATTTTAGCTCCTTTGTCAAAGATAAGTTGCTATAGTTTGTGTGGCTTCATATCTGGATCCTCTATTCTGTCCACTGCTTCATGTCTGTTTTTGTGCCAGTACTGCTGTTTTTTTTGTTATTGCCTTGTAATATAGTTTGAAGTCAGGTATTGTGATACCTCTGCATTGTTCTTTGACGGAGTATTGCCTTGGCTATTCGTGGCCTCTGTTGTGTTTCCATATAAATTTTAACAGTAGATTTTTCAATCTCTTTAATGAATGTCATTGGAATTTTGATGGGAATTGCATTAAACATGTAGATTACTTTGGGAGTATGACATTTTACTATGTTGATTCTACCCAATCCATGAGCATGGGAGAGTCTCTCCACTTTCTATAGGTCTTCCCAATCTCTTCTTCAGAAGTGTATAGTTTTCCTTGTAGAATGTCTTTCACGATCTTTTGTTAGGTTATCACCTAAGGTATTTGATTTTTGTTTTGAGGCTATTGTAAATGGAATTGTTTTCATACATTCTTTTTCCATTTGTTCATTGTTAGTGTATAGAAATGCTAATGATTTTTCCTTTTAGTTTATTTTTTAAGTAGGGTCTTGTGCTTTTTGCCTGGACTGGCCTTGGACTGTAATCTTCCTCCCTCTGCCGCCTGCATATCTAGGATTGTAGGCATATGCCACTGCACATGGCTTGAGAAGAGAATGTTTTTTTTTTTTTTTTTGGTGGTACTGGGGTTTGAACTCAGGGCCTCATGCTTGCTAGGCAGACACTCTGCCACTTGAGCCACTCCACCAGTCCCTTTTTGCTTTAGTTATGTTTTGGATATGGTCTTGCATTTTGGCCTGGCACTGGCCTCAGATCACAATCCTCCTACCTATTCCTCCTGCATAGCTTGGGTTACAGTTTTGCACCACCATGCCAGGATTTTTGGTTGAGATGGAGTCTCGCTAATTTTTCCCCTGGGGTGGCCTTGAACTGTGATCCTCCCTATCTCTGCCTACTGAGTAGCTAGGACATGTACCACCACACTGAGCTGGGGAAGAGAGGTTTTAAAAGGGAGAATTAATAGGACTCGGTGCCCAGTGGACAGGGTTGTGCCTTGCAGGAGGTAGATGTTTGGCCAGTGCTGGTTGATGCTGCAGCAGTCAGCTGAGGAGAGGAATGGGGAGCGGGTGCCAAGTGGTCCCATTCCACCTGGGGAGAATTAGACTTCCTCTTCCAGGGAAGTGACTGGGATAGGAAACACTGATGAACCTGAGATGACACAGAACTTTCTGCACGAAGAATTAGCACAGTTCTTATCTCTGTAATGTCTGTAATGTTCTAATCAACTAAGGCAAGTGGTGGGAATAACCCAGGCTGTTCAGTCAGCTGCTCAGAGTCTGAAAACTGTCCTCATCTCAGAACTGTGACCAGAGCCAAGTAACAGCATGAAGCATTGGTACGTTCCTTTTTCAGAAGCTGGTGACCCTAGGTTCAGAGTGGCCCCTGATGGGCTGAGGTTGGCATGGAGGCTGAGGTTAGTTCCTGCTCATAGTTTACTGTTCCCTCACCCATGCCATTCCTGAACTTGAATTTGAGATTCTCTGCTTATTCGTTCATTCAGCCTTGACTGAGCTTTACTGTATATGTTATAGTGCAGTGGTGAGGAGCTCAGTGAGGAGTGCAGCCTCCCAGGTCAAAGGCCAGCTCAGGTCTCAGCTTTGCCACTTGCTGTCTGTATGGCCTTTGCCAGGTCTTTGTGCCCAGTTTCCTGAGTGATTGATTGTTGGATTGATTGGGTACTAGGGATTGAACCCAGGTTCTCATGTGTGCTAAACACAGGCTGTACTACCAAGCTACACCTCTACCCCTACCCCTCAGTCTCCTGATTCTTAGGGCGAGTGGAGTCCTAGGGTGGGTGTGAGAATTTGGTGAGCTAATCCATGTCAGTGTTTGGTCCTTGGCATCCCTCAGTCCTGGGGTACAGAGGTGGGTGTCCTCAATACCCACCCCTAGCTCCAGGCTAGAGAATACCTCTTCCAATCCTGGGAAGAAAACTCTGGAAGTCCTTACCCAGGACAAGTCAGGAGTAGGCTCTGCCCTTTCACAGTTCCTCAGTTGTGACTTCGAGGAGAGGCCTGTAGAGGCGTGATTCTGGATAAGGCATCAAGACCCCTTACCACACTTGCTGTGCTGCAGAACAGGTTGGGACACCAAGCAAGTTCGGCTTCTCAGCTGAGACGAAGCCGATCGAAGCGTTTCCAGTCACAGAAGTGACCACGTGTGGCCAATCTATTTCTCCCTCACTCTCTGCAGCAGTTCTAATTGCAGCAGTCCCTCTAGACCTGCACTCAAGTCCCTCTACCCATCCTTCCAGGAATCCTTATCTTCACTCTCACCTTATGCCAGGACTCACAGGCCTCAGTTTATGAAGTTAGTGCTGATGGAAGCCAGAGCAGTGGCCCAGGACAGGCAGCCAGAGGCTAAAAATATCTCACACTGGCTCTCTGCAAGTTATAGGAAAGGGCAGAATGGGAGGTGGTGGCTGCAAATTCTCCCTAACGCTGACTCTATCCAGTGCTTTGGGGTGCAGGTGGCCCCAGAATCTGGTCCTGCTCACAGAGTTTGTCCAAATGGTGCCTTAATCTGGGGAAAGGCTGACCCATGGTGGAGCAGATGGAGGTGGATAGGCCAGAGATGCAGCCAAGCAATCTGGGATGCTCAATGGAGCCAAACTGGGGTACAGTTTCTGTATATATGGAAATGTCACAACAGAATCTCCTCTCATATACTAAAGGAATGTTTTAAAATGCAAAAAAAAAAAACCTGCTGATGCAGCAGCTTAGAGCATGGGTGTCAAGGTTGTCCTGAGGTGCACTGGAAACTGACACACTGCCCCTCAACCTCATCTTCTAGAGTGGAAACTGGCCGCTGTTTGCTTGGATGATAACAAATGAAGGAGCTGGTTTGTGTTTGGAGCACATCATACAAAGAGAATCTATGTTTTGATGCTAACACTCCAGACACAGTGGTGAGGGACAGTGGCGGAGGCTGGAGAGGCCACCTCAGAGTTGTAGCTCAGGCTCCTATGGAGGGGGAGTGCTCAGAGAGTGAGGAGAGTGTGGGCAAATCCTCCACACTTCTAGAATATTCTCTCTGACCCTGCCTCGCTCCCTCTCTTTTCCTGTCTTCCTCTTATCCTTTGTGGCTCTCACGTACTTCAGCTTAAATCTTTCCTGTGGGTATCATGTGCATTTGGATGGTGTTTACCATGCCAGGTAGTCATTTTGTGGTGAAATGCCCACTCATATTTGTGGATGTCACCTGTGCTCCTCCTTCTGTGCCAGGTACTCTACACTAAGATACTACATGCTTTCTACATCTCTCATTCATTAAGTTCCCCTGAGTACCTGCCACAGATGAAGCCATCATGAAACTGCATGTAGTTTACTGACCTGTGACCAGAGTTTGGCTTCATCCGGCCCTATAAATATAGTCCATCCCATGCTCCAAATAACCAAACCCACCATCACAAGGGCCCCAATGAGGAAATGTATGTAGTCGTAATCTCAACTGGGATGAAGGTTCATGAGGTATAAAAATAGGGCCCAATAAGACAGTGGCTTAAAGAATAAAGAAATCGCTCCAGGTGAGAGGGGTGGATTGTGCTCCCTGCAATCAGTCAAAGGCCCAGGTGCCTTCTGTCTTGTTGCTCGGTCCTTTCCAGATTTATCATCATCACCTGTGTAGTCAGAGCCGGGATGGTGGACAAGGCATGCCCGTGTTTTAAGATCTGGCTGGAAAGTGGCCCATGTTCCCCTCACATTCCATCGGGAACAAAGACATCTGGCAACACCTAGCTATAAGGATGCCTGGGAAGCCCAGTACCTGATAAAACTCAGACCAAATATCCCTCATCTGACATGCTTGGGACCAGAATGCTTTGGATTTTTTTCAGATTTTAGAATACTTGCATATACGTAATGAGAGATCGTGGCAGTGGGACCAAGGTATCTCTGTTTCATGCTTGTGCCTTATAAGGCATAGCTCAAAGTTAACTTTATATGGGATTTTAAAAATAATTTTGTGAATGAAGCAATGTTTCGTGATGTGGAATTTTCCACTTGTGGCAACATGTTGGTGCTCAAAAAGCTTTATTTTTGGTGGTACTGGGGTTTGATATGAGGGCCTCAAAATTGCTAGGCAGGTGCTCTACCACTTGAGCCACTCTTCCAGCCCTTTTTTTTGTGTGTGTTGGGTATTTTCAAGGTAGGGTCTTGCAAACTATTTACCTGGTACTTCCACTGAACCATGATCTTCCTGTTCTATCTCCTCAGTAGCTAGGATTACAGGCGTGAGCCACTGGTGCCCAGCCCTCAGAAAGTTTCAGAATACAGAGCGTTTTGAATTTTGGGTTTTTGGACTGGGTCTGCTCAACCTGTGACTGTAGGAGAAAGGAGAATGGATTTTGGTGGACTCTGGGTAGGCTTTGACTTAGTCCTCTCCTGTCTAATGTAGCTCTTTGTGTGTTTGTCACATTAATGTGTCAGTTGTTGGTTGTACCCATCAATGTTGGTTGCTTTCTTTTTTAAGAAAGAAAATCTGGACCTGCTACACTGAGCCTACAGACAGTCCTACAGTAATGAATCAGTGCATCTACAGAGGAATGGAATCAAACAAGGAAAGGTAAAAGTTCAAATTGAAAATTCTTTTTGCATGCAACAATTAAATGCAGTGCAGAGCTGCCTTAAACCTGCTTAAGTCAGTAAGGGTAGGAAGAACGTGGAGATGGCACGGTGCAGGGGTCAAGCTCAGTGGTAGAGCGCTTGCCTAGCTTCTTTGAGGTCCTCATGGAAGGACCTCTGCACTGAAAAAAAAAAAAAAAGTCTTTGGAGATAGCAAAATGTCATGCATTGCCTTTCACTTTTTTTCACCAGAGGAGAGATGCCATTGTTAAGCATGAGGGATTTTTTAAGTCTTAGAAGTAAAAGTTGGTATAAATGGAACCAATGTGATATAGGATTGAACGTTTTCATTCTAAACTGTGGACATTCATTCCCAAACACTGTGGCATAGGCTCAGAATGTCATGTTTACATTTATGAGTGGCCTGTCCCCCAAGAGAGGGCAGTGGCAGACCTTGAGCTCTTTTTTTTTTTTTTTTTTGTTCTAGGGCTTGAACTCAGGGCCTACACCTGCAGCCACTCCACCAGCCCTTTTTTTGTGAAGGGTTTTTTTGAGATAGGGTCTCTCGAAACTATTTGCCCAGGCTAGCTTTGAACCACAATCCTCCTGATCGCTGCCTCCTGAGTAGCTAGGATTACAGGTTTTGAGCTCTTTCTTGGTAGCTATATCTTCTCTTGGAGTCATCATTTCTTTCTCATTTTGTACCTTCACTTTTTTTCCCCTTTAAAACTAATTTTTAATTTAATTTAATTTTAGTATCCAAGAAATGAATGAAAGCATGTTCTTGGTTAAAAACAAGAATGAAGGCTGGTGGAGTGGCTCAAGTGGGAGAGCACCTGCCTAGCAAGTGCAGGCCCTGAGTTCAAGCCCCAGTACCACCAAAAAAAAAATGCTATCCCTATTGATCCGTGTTTTCATTCTCAGCCCCAGCCCCACTCCTGCCCTTCCCTGTGATCTACGTAGCATATGTATGTGATGTACATAGTATGCGTGTTTCCTTCCACAACTTTCTCTAGGTGTCTAGCTCTATAGAAAAAAAGTCATCATTTATTACTTTTTTAAGTTTTTGATTTTAAAATGCATGCTGTCATATTCTGCTTGTTGGCTTATTTTGTAATTCTTTAATAAATTCAGTAACGTGTCTTAGAATGTTCTGAAGATAGCCTGTGTGAACCTGCCTCATTTTCGTACTGCATTGAAGTACTGTTGAGCTGTCACCTTGTTAATGTTGATACTGGTGCTAATTTTTGCACTTGTAACGATGCTGTGACGTGCTTGCTGGTATCTTCCTCCTGGCACATGGGCAGATAGTTCTCTAAGGTACTTACTGCGGAGTAGAGTTGCTGGGCATTTAAGATGCTAATAAATTCAGTCAAGCCTTTCTGTAAAGAGCGCCACCTGTCAGCTGGGTGCCAGGTCTGCTGTTTGCCCATCTCCTGCTGCACCTCAGATCTGGTCTTTAATTTTGCCAGTCTCTTGGGTAGACAGTGGTGCCTCTCTGGGGTTGTAATCTCCTCCCCTTCTCTCTCCTCTGAGGAAGTTCATCTTCTCAGGACTCTGTTACCTGGTTTCATCTTCCGATGGTGCCAATAAGTCTCTGTCCTCACAGGGATCCAGAGATCTCTCCTGAGACCCAGTTCCCTGGCATGCCTGGGCAGCCCTCGTCTTTCCCTGGAGCAGTTGCTGCATCATTTTCTCTTCTGTAAAAGGTTCAAGTTTGTCCTGCTCTGGGCACACCCACTTCAGCAGTCTGCTTGTCTTTCCCTTCAAGGGGTTTTAAAGAGGTCGTGGTTGGATTTCCAGAATTCAGGTGGTTTTTTTCGTCACCACCATCACTGGCAACAGTTGAGTGTTTACTGAGTGTCACCCTCTGTGTGATCACTTGACCTACCTATCCATTTTAATTCTCACAGTGGCCTTGGAAGGTAGGGAGGGGTTGTTTTGTGACCACAGGTGACAGACAGGGATTCATTCAAAACCAACTCCAGCAGTAGGAAGAAAAAGAACAACAACTCCACCTCTCCAAGGAGCCCCAGCTCCTACCCAGTGCTCTCCTTGGGTAGCAAACAGAGCCGTGCTGGCTGAGAGGCAAAGTCTCCTGTGGACGTAGCCTTGGAGTCAGCATGCAGTGTTTACGGTTGCCTTGGACACGCTCAGCTGTTATTATGCATCTGTGGTACTGTGGGACAAGGAGGAGTTGGAAGTGGGGCCTTGTCCTCATCCAGCATGTGGACGTGGGCTCTGTGTACTGCCAGCATCTCTGCTGTGGGATTGGCAACCCCACTCAAGCCCACCCAGATGTTTCTCTGGAAAACGTTTTCCCAAGTTGAGCAGATTTGCCATGGGGAGTGAATATACTTCATTGGGGTAAATGTGCCCACTGAGCTGTGGAGAGACAAAATGCTGCACTCACCCTCTGTAGGCCTCCCTGTCCTAAAATATTTAACTTTAGCTGTCATTTCAAAGATCAAGAAATAGATAGAGGCTGGCTCACGCCTGTAATCCTAGCTACTCAGGAGGCAGAGACCAGGAGGATTGAGGTTTGAAGCCAACCCAGGCAAATAGTTCGTGAGACCCTATCTTGAAAAAACCCATCACACTAAAGGGCTGGTGAGGTGACTTAAACAGTAAGAGCACCTGCCTAGCAAGTGTGAGGCCCTTAGTTCAAATCCCAGTGTTGCCAAAAAGGATAGCTAAATGCAATTTATAGGCAGAGGACAAATTCAATGTCTTCCTGAGCATCCCTTTTCTTATATATTTCAGAGATATAAAAATTTGGAGCTGGAAGAGATCCTAGACTTGTATTTAGCTTTTCATTACAGTTTTAAGCAGACAAGAGTGAGGAAGTGATTGTTCAAGTTTAAGGGGAGGAACAAGCCTGGGCCCCAGGGCTCAGGGATCTGGCACTGGCTGTTTCCACACCCTCACAGATACTTCTTGTGGGATTGTCAGGAGACTGTCTCTTGTATAACTAGGCCTTATTACTTGGTGATACTTTGAAGGAAACTAGCCCGTTGATTGACAGATTGGCAATCACCAGGTATATTAGGGCCACAAGGATGGGTAAGAGGGGAATTCTTGGGGAATTCAGAGGCTGGTGGAGGAGGTACTTGCACACTTTATGAGCAGTGGCCAAGTGGGAAAGCTTCAATGCCATTGGCCAGTGGGAATCCCAGCAGCACATCCCACCCACAAAAGGTGGTTGAGAAACCCTGGGTTGATCATCGTAAAGCACCTGGCGCTCATTCAGCACCCAAGAAAGACACCACTTTTCAGTTTGTGTGTTTATTTTTATACCTGTATAGAGGGAGGGACCTAGGAAGATTTTCATGTCAGGAAATTGATAACACTAGACTTACGTTTCAGGAACAATCATCAGCCAATGCAGTTCTTGACCTACGTGGATTGTAGTGTCTCTCAGCTTCTGCTCTGCGAACTCCATGGGCCCAGGTCTTAGGCCTTTTGTTCACTGTTATTTACCAGGAGCTCAGTACACAGTAGGTGCTTACTAATATTTCTAGGCTCATGAGGGTCAAGGGTGGAGCAGAAAGGAGGGGCCCTGGCTCCTTGAGGTGAGGTGCTGGGACAATGCAGGACCACAGATTGGCCTGGGATCAACTGTGCCTCCCTTAGGACAGCGTCTCCCTGGACACACTGCTCACAGACCACGTCTCCCTCTGGGGGATGCAGTTTTGCTCCTAAGACTTATGAACGTTGCTTGTAACCAAGTAACTTTGTTCTGAGGACATCCATTCCCACAGCATTTATTGGTCAACCAATCTTTTCTGGTTACTTCCACTTCTGGATGGGAACTGATCCTTTAGGGACCAAGGAACACAGGCTCTCTACCTGGTAAAGCCCCAGGGAGTGAAGTTTTCTGCTGCCCACAGGGACTGTGGCTGGATAATGTCACTTCTCTGTTCAGTGCCGTTTGTTTGTTTTTTGGTGGTGCTGGGGATTGAACCCAGAGCTTTGCACATGCTAGGCAAGTGCTGTATACCACTGAGCTACATCCCCAGCCAAATGACACTTCTCTGTGCCTCAGTTTGCACTGCTGTGCAAGCAATGGAGCTAGGCAAGCAGAATTTCTGCTTCTCTTAGGAACAAAGAGGAGATTTTGAGGGGAGACATCCTAACTATAAATCTGTCCTGTGAATGGACTGAGTGAAATGCTTGAGTAGTTAGGACTTTAACCATGCTGGAGAAATGGAAGGATTTGAGTTTGTTCATTTGTTCATTCATTCATGCATGAATTCCTTCATTCATTCACCAGTCAATCCCTGTTACCCAGCAGGTCTCAGGCTTTCCTGCAGGCCTTCTGCTCACAGATTGCATCTGAATGTGTCTCTTTCTCCAAAATAAAAGTCCTGTCTGGCTCATCTGTTCAGTGTAGTCATCCCTTGGTATCTATAAGGGATCGGCTCCAGGATTCCCATGGATACCAAAATCCAAGGATGCTCAAGTCTCTTACATAAAATGTATTTACACAGAACCTGTGCACATCCTTCTGTATATGTTAAATTAGATTACCTATTAGATTACCCCAATACAATGTCAGTGCTGCAGAGATGGTTGTTATGCTGTATCACGTAGGGAATGACAAGAAAAAATCTGTCCGTATTTAGTACAGATGAAATTTAAAAATCTTTGCACTCCACAGTTGGTCGCATCCATGAGGCAACCATGGATACAGAGGGGCCACTGTGCTGTGAGCACCTCCTGTGTGGCTGGCTGCCCACTAGACCTTCCTCTCCTGGAAACCTGCCTGGGCCTCGCCCACTGTGGACCTTGGCCATGTTCTGCTCTGGTGGGCTGAATTGGTGGGGAAACAGAGTCATTTGTAGGTGGCCCCATGAAGTACTTGTGCCAGTGATGTGTCCTGGTGCTTTTCATGCTCCAGAGTGAGGCTGCTGTGAGAGGCCTCCAGAGCCCGGCCTAGAGGCTGGCTGGTCTCCTGTTCATTGTTGGTCGCTGTCTTCTCCCGGGCCCACTTATCAATGT